CAGGCGCCAGCCCCTGCGCCTCCTCCCTGTCCATCCTGTCACTGTGCCACCCAGAGTGCCAAACAATGGGATGTCAACAATGCCTCGTTGCATGGTGGTGATCCTGTTTCAACTTCCGTCGCCTGAATGATGGCAATGCCATCATCAGCCGAAAGGGGGGATATGTAGGATCACACATGCACATATCACAGGGCCTAAATTCCAGGTGGCCTGAGACAAGGCCGAGCCTGGTACGAGAGGCACCAAAGGGGGGTTACACACATAAACACACACAAACACGCTCTGAACCTCAAACTCGCCTGAAACATCGCGAGACTCTCTCTCATCGGCCGTGAGGGGGGCTTAATAATCAGCATTAAATAATTAATTAAACTTTAATTAATTCAAACATATTGGTGGAGATATTAAAATTTACCTGAGCTAATAATTCCTACACAGCTAAAGTTTTTTATACCTTTAAACATTAACAAAAACAATTAATGTCTTCAGTAGCTGAACCCCATTCCCCACTGCGACCATGCATTAGCTGTCTGGCATATCAAAACAAGTGAAACAATGGTAGACTGTATAATTTCACCTTAAAAACATACTGGCTACGCTTTTACTGACATAAAATAGCGCATTTGCTTAAAATAACAAAACAAAGCTATTGTTTTTACCATTTAAAAACGCAATAACCTCTTTCATCTCTAGCTAGAATAGATTGGCGAGCCCCAGAGTATGGTTAAAATTACACTGCTAAAAGTTTTATTATCCTTAAAATGCATTTAAACCAGTACATTAATAAACATCTGTAATGTATTCTTTTAAAGTCTAATGACCCCCATTTTGCTGGCATGTACTGTACCGTATATGCTATGGCTACGGGCGGCCATGTTTCGCGTCCCCCCGAAAACATCGCTCACGACATAATGGAGGGCTTGCGGCCATTCGTCGCCTGACATGTCTGAACATGTTGGCTGTGTTTTTACTGCCATAAAATAGCACATTTGTTTAAAATGACACGTTAACAAACAACTATTTTAAATTTTTTGCCATTTAAAACCGCCAGACCCTCTTTCGTCTCTAGCTAGAAAAGATCGATGCGCCCAGAGCACCGTTACAAGCACACTGATAAATGCTGTTACCCTTAAAATGCATTTAAAATGATTCGTTAATAAACACCTGTAATGTATTTTATTCTTTTAAAGATTATTGACCCCGCTTTGGTGCCATATGGTTTTACTTTGTAGGTCGTAGGACAGGCTATCAGTATGGTACATCTGTCAAGCGATTAATTCTAAATGCAGCTTACTAGTTCCTATTAAATGTAATTAAATAATAAAGTCCACCTTCTTTTAAATAATAAAAAACAACATCCTAAATTCTTGACCTGGTTGGTGACCTGGGGCTATAAGAAAAACACACTTCTGTTGCTATAGTCCGCACGTGTGTGGGTTAATATGCTTGAATTCTTTATTAATTATCATTGGTCAAATGCTTTATAACACATTTTATACTTATTTTAAAATAAGAATTCTACCAAAGTTTTTAAAATGCTTTTGATGTATGTTGATACATGCCGTTCACTAGCTTCTACAGCAATTAAATACAACAGGGTTTGTTCGGGCGACCCCCCACGCACCGCCCGACCGAGTCAGTGGGATGAGTCCTGTACACTCTGGTATTTCTGTCTGGTTTTTCACGATAAGTTGCGTGAACGCCTGAGTTAGTGTGCTTTGGGTCTGCATACACGTCGTTCTCCTGACAAATAATTACGCCTGACCTGAAGTTAAACTCTAATGCCCTGATAACAAAATACAACTAAATACATCTTTTAAGTTATTTATTCCTTTTGATTAGCCATCCATTGATGAAATTAGCTAAATGTTACTAAACAGCTGGGAGTTGTCGTGTTAGAGCCCGATTTAAATTAGAAATAGATTATTTTATACTATTTACAAATAAGTCAGATTAACAAATATAGTTAATGTGCATTCTGTCAGGATGGGTGCGTTCTTCTCGCAATCCAGGGGTGTCGCAGTTTATGGCATTCCGGCAAATGGACAATAGCTTGGGAACGGGGGTCCAGCAAATGGACAATAGCCTTGGGAACCAGTCTATCTCGAGCCAGTTGTCAACAGGTGTGCGGCCTCCCGCTGTTTCACTGCCCCTGCTGTGAACCCCTTTAACAAAAAAGAACAGTAGACAACCCCACCTAGCGGTACAGTACAGAGGGAGCCACGTCAAATAGCCGCCTGGAGCGTGACGGGTCCATGGCAGAACCATGCAAGGTCAATGCACGATCCGTGCACGGAATGTGATCCCCCGCGATGACGCAGTAAACGAAGCCCCGCCCCATAAACGCCCCATGCGCTTTCTAAAAAGATGGTTGCAATGCTGTATAATCCCGCCAGGTGGAGCA